GAGAGAGAGAGAGAGAGAGAGAGAGAGAGAGAGAGAAAGGAAAGGACAGAAAGGAAAAGAAAAAAGAAACAGAAGCTTTGCAGATGTAATCTGGTTTATGATTTTGAGACAAGATCATCCAGGATTAGGGTAGTCCCTAAAACCAGTGGCAAGTGTCCTTAGCCATGAGGAGGACACGTGGGGAGGTGAGTGGAGGTAGACACTGGAGAGGATACCATGCACGGCCAGAAGGCACTAAGAGCTGAGGAAGGGAAGAGCCTTCAAAAGGCACCTGGGTCTGAGATCTGGCCTCACAAATAAGTTACTGTTGTTTTCAAGCAATCTTTTCGTGGTAATTTGTTATGACAGTGTGAGGAAACAGAAATAGCAACCTTGTGCAAAACTTATATTCATCTATCTCATACTCATCAGCTGTAGAGCAAGATTTTAGTAATCTTGGGGCTGGGGAGATGGCTCAGTGGAATAAATACTTCCTTGGCAAGCGCAAGGGCCTGAGTTCAATCCCTGGTTCCGCAAAATAAAAATAAAAATAAAATAAAATAAAATAAAAAATAGATTTTAGTAATCTTAAGTACACAGCTTAGTTGCTAGGATTAGTAAGTTAACGTGTGTAGAGTGCTTAGCACTGTGCGTGGTCCTGCTATGTTATTGGCACAAATGGTATTACTATAATTGTCATTATTGTGAACATACATTTGGAGGCACTGAGAGGTATCTGGGCAATATCTCTGGATACTGAGGTAAAGAATACTTTCCTCACTGGGTTTTATAAATTATGTACAAGGGATATGTATTAGTTTTAGAATGGGAGATATTTAATACTCTGAAATGATCATTTTTAATAGTGTAAAGATTGCTTACCTGCAAGGTCATTACAAAATTAAGACAGGTGTGCTATGCTTTACAAAGAAGGAGTTTTTAAACAATGTGTACTCTATCAAGAATCTCATGGCCATGAAGAAACAAAAATCTGATTATTAACTCCTAGGATCTATAGAGCACAAATTTCTACAGGTAACCTACTCTTTCAGGAACTGATTCTTATTAGCTAGCACGAGGAAATCTGATTTCTTGGTATATGTGTTTTTCTTTCCATACTTATAATACTTCTACAATCACATAAAACTTCTTAATTTCATATGAAACTGTTTCTTTTTCTTCAGAGTTGGTAAACTACTATTGAGAAATAGTAGTTGATAAACTACTATTCAGAAATCTAATGGTAAACATTATGTAAGCACTTTAATTAAATGACCTGTTTCTCTTATGAAAAGCACTACCTCTGCAAAGTTGGGCTTTGGAGCCCAACCCAACTACTACTGAGTTAAGGGTTATTAAGGATGTGGGGCACAGCCTGCTGTGCTGTGCACAGGAGGGACACACAGAGGCCAGCTGACCACAGCCAGGGAGGCACAACATGCCGGTACTCCCAGCTCATTGGGGATAAGAGACTATCAAGAGGTTTATCCTTTTCAAAATGGGCTTCATGGCCCCATAATAGACAGGCAGGTGTCAAGCACTCTTTAATAATGACCATGAACTTGCAAAATGCACCATGTGAAAACCGCAGCGCCCTACTATCGTGTGGAGTTGTATTTTGCACAGCAGAAACTGAGGGGCTGCCAAGTTAATACTGCTACTGAAGATGCCCTCCCAGCGAGCTGTGGGGCCTCTGGGATGGGGAGACTATGGGCCTAGAAAGGTCTTAAACTTCATGGGAGGGATGGCAGAGGTTTTCTGAAGTGTGATCAAGTTTGGTCCCGAGGTGCTTGCTGGGAGCAGAGTTCGGAAGCACCTCCGATGTGCTGCTGGGGCAGGTCTCCCCGGCTCTGAGCCCTCGGCTTGTTTCAGCCCTCTGCGGCTTCTCATCTGAGCCTTTGCACTGTCCCCTTGCTCTCCTGCCCCTGCAGGTTGCTCTTCCAATCTTGGCATTCTCTTTTATCTCAGGGCACTGAAGAAGAACAAAACTACATCACTCGCTGGACAATGGATGGAACTGCCAGACTCAGAAAGATACTGCATATTTTCCTTAATATGTGGAATCTATTTTAAAAACAAAAACAAAAAATACCCGAAACAAACAAACAAACAAATAAATGAATGAAAACAAAGATGACTTGGAAGTAGGGGGGTGCTATTAGTAGAGAAAAGAAAGGGGCATAAGGAAAAAGAGTAGAGAATAAAGGGAGGGCAACGGAGGCTGGCGATGACCCAAATGCTCTGTGGATGCATGAAAATAACACAGTGAAACCCATATTTTACTAAGTTAATATGTAGGAAAGAAAAAGAAAAGGAAATCAGTATCTTCCTTCTACCTGTCTGTGCCTAAGGAGATTCTCACCTAGTGATTTCACTCCACATATCCACAAATAGAACAGACAATAGGCAGGAAGCCCTGACTGGCAGGCAGATACGGTGAGTGGGTAAGTCCCAGAGCCCCAGGTAGTACTGAGAATGAGGCCTGGTGCTCCCCATATCCGCTGCCTGCTGTCCTCAGCTGAGCCCAGGCACTGGCTGTGCCTACCAGGCCTCCTCCGGCAGTGCCCACATGCTGAACCCCTGCCATGCTCCTGCCCCGTTTCCCTTAGGCAGCAGACCTTGCCGACCAAGACCAAACTCCTGGTGAGGCTTGACAAGAGGCTTTCACAGCTTCTGTCCTTTTCTGTCACCACTCACCTGCCATGCTAGCTTCCTCTGGAAGCTCCTGCTAAGCCTGCCTCTCCGATCTCTAGATCTGACTTTGCCCTCGAGGGTCAGACCTTCATTTCCAGGTGACTCACGGATCTTTCTGCCACTGGGTTCCAACAACAAGCTAATAGAATATACATAAACCCTAGATTCAGGATCGCTTCCTTATATGTTCACCATGCCTCCTACATCATCCCTGGCACGTGCCAAGGCTCTCGCCACAGACCAACGACTGAAACTGCAGCACCATCTTTGATTCCTTCACCCCTGCACTGCACACCCGAGGTTCCCTGGGGATCTGCATCTCCTGCACCCCTCTCGCCTCTGCATTTCTTTCCAGCACCTGAATTCCAGTTCCTTTAATCTCGTGGGAGCAGCTGTTGGACTGTTGTCTCATCTCTTCCCTAAGACTCACATGTGGCTTTACTCCACTTTGTCACCGTGGTCTGATGCTCTCCATTCGGCACTGCCAAGCTCCCGTCAGTGGCTGCATTCTTATGGCCCTTTCACTCTGGGTTGCAGAACCACTCAGTTTCTCTCATTTGTATTTGGTCCATAAAGTTTGCTCTCTGTACTTTGGCAGATGCTGCTTTGGAAAGCCCTCTTCACAGTTTCTAATGTTCAAATGCACCTTGCTCTTAAGCCGCCAGTGTCAAGATTCCCAAATCTCAGATGCAAGTGCGATACCCCTGCCCACTAACTCATCTCTACGATTTTTATCTGTTTCCAACAGTTCGCATGGCATTTGATGTCCCAACCAGAGGGCCTCTGGGCGAGAGCAGCCTCATCTGCTGCCTTTGTATCTCCCAGAGCGTCCTGTGCTGCGGTGTCATGCCAAGACAGGTATGCGTCAATTACCAAGTAAACAACTCAGAACATGCATCTACCATTCTGGCCTCTAATAAGGACAAAGAGAAAAGCCTCAAAAGGTAAACTCTTGGCTTTTGAACTCTAGGAGCTGGTGCTTATTGTGGAGATCAGGCTATATAATACTAGTTAACAGGAAACAATAGCAGATAGACAACAGGATCACTGAATGTACATATGCACGTTCAAAGAAATCATTAAGCTTGGTTCTACTTTTATAAGAATAAATTGGATCTTAGTAATCCGTTTATTTTGGATATTTAAGAAGAGGGCATGTTCTAGGAAACAAGTGTCCAAATAACAAGCACAGCAGTTGGAACAAGCATGGTTTGTTCACAAGATTACAAATAAACCTGCCATGACAGGAAAGGAAAAAACACGAGGAGAAGGTGCCTACAGCCCGCTGATGTCAGAGTGTGGATTAAGTGCCTGCTTGGGATCATTCCATTTAATCCATACAACAGCCTTGTAAAGTAGATAGCATCACTGCCAATTTTATAAACAAGTAGGCTGAGACCTGAAGGGATTAAGTAACTGACCCAGGTTATACAGGATTAGGTGGCAGAGCTGGGATCTGCAAGAGACAGCTAGCTTCCATCACATCAAGGCATCTTTTCTCAATCAAAAAAACAGTCACAGCGTTTTTATTTTCTTTTTCAGGAAAGAGGACTTGCTGTATTTATGAATAGTTCAGGTTGTAAACCCGCAAGTACTATATATATATATATATATATATATATATATATATGGTTTAATACATGTTAGCTGACTCTGAATACAAGTTTGTCTACCTGGAGAGGGAAGCAAGGAAGCAGGAAGTGCTAGGGAGAAATGCTGAGGCCACCATAAAACTCGTCAGTGTCTCAGACTGAAAGAAGTGTGAAAGAGGGGTTACAGACTCAAGAGTCTACATTAAGGTCACCCTCGCTCAGTCTACTTCAGCTCAAAGGGGGAGAGATACTCACCCTGAACACAGCTTTATAACAATGAACACCAATGTCTAGAAGTGAAGGACGAGAGCAAAGGACCAGAGAAACCTACCTGGTCTCATTGGCACATCGGATCTTGCAGCCCTTCTGGGGTATCACCAAGCCCAGGTGCATTCGGAGCCTGCAGTTGGTGGGTCCTGTGTGTGGCCACACGTGAGTTCCAGGGTGCATGATGGAGTATTTGATCTGCACAGAAGATGGGACACTCGATCAGACTTTGATCAAATTGTGCAGAAACTGCTCTATTAATGTGGCAGCACAAAATCACTGTCAGCTCAGTTTAGAGCCTTTGCGAGACTCAAGATTTCTACGCACATCTTTTTGTGATAGGACTAAAAATAAGCACCCAAATTGTGCACAAAGTGATAAATATTGCATGTTCTCTACCCTCAATTCTGATACCAATGAGATGATATGCTGTTTCATTAAAAAGTTAGTAAACAAAAAAGAGACATTCATTGGGACAAAGATATTATCATTATTTATAAAGGTCAGCTGTCCCTCATTCCCAACAACTGTGTCCTAAAAACCCTCTTGGTACCTGTCCTCTTCTACATCCTGTTGTTTCAGGGAACTTTTCTAATAAAGTGCAGGTTTTAGGAGCTCCTTTACAGGCATTTTCATTTTTTCTTCCTAGAACAAAAAAAAGTGACAAAAACTATTGTTAGAAGCAGGTCTACCATTGGGCACTATGGTGTGTACCTATAATCCAGCTACCCCAGAGACTGAATCAGACCATGAGAGCCCAGGAATTTGAGACTCACTTCAGCAACACAATAACCCATCTTGAAACCAAAGAACAAATGCAGTGGGATTTATCTCATCCCCTTTGGGCCCTATGTACAGTTTTCCTCACTGTAGGAATGAGAAGGACAAATTAACACAAAAAGACAAAGTGTCTTCCTTTAATAGACAGTGTCCGGCAGAGCAGGACCTGAGCTCTTTATCAGTGTTGGACAGTTAACTAAGGACATCGAATGGGCAAGGTACATGTTGAATAGTTAATGTGGCCATTGGAATAATGGCCTTTCTTAAAGAGGTCCACATGCTAATCCAGGATACTGTGATGTGTTGTATTTTGTGATAAGGAGAAACTAAGATTGCAGACAGCACTGAGATTTCCAGTGAACTGAATTTAAAATAAGAAGATTATCCTGCTTAACTTCATGGACCCAACACAATTACAGGTCCTTGGATGTGGGAAAAGGAGGAGGGGGTCTCACATTGGTACAGAATAAGAAGGACTTACTGACCATTTCTAGCTTTGAAGATGGAAGAGGAGCCATGGAGCATAGACAGCCTCTAGGAGCTACGGCCTCTAAAACAACAACATTGTGATTTGAGCCCAGCAGGACCCATTAGAGACTTCTGACTTCTAGAACTATAAAATAAATGTGTATATATTTAAGTCATTAAGCTTGTGATAATTTGGTAGTCATAGGAAGTTAATAATCCCTTAAGGAAGGAAAATAACTTATATACATAACTAAAAATATATTTTCAAAATTATATCGAAGAGTTACAAAAATAATTTTTCATTGGAATCTAATGTCTTCTCAATGTACAGATCATCCTATAAGTGCTGATAGAAAATGACATTTAAACAAAGAGGAGGACGAACAGGTTTTGGAGAGATAATGTGTTCTATGAATAATTATATTGGGAGTGCCGATTCTGGGACAAAGTCTTAAGTATCCTGGATGGTGCAAATTTCTTCACACTACAAGATTATTGTTCACTGCAGAATGTGTGCCAGAACACACATGACCTCACATGCTTTCATGGGGGAGTGAAAAAATGGACTCTTTTCAAAGACAGAAACATTTTAATTTTCTATTCAAAAATCCCACAAACGATTGCGCCATCTACAGCTGAGCTTAACTTAACTTCATAAATACATGTTGTGTACTAAGCTAATCATACACTGAGAATAAAACAAGAGTTATAAGAGATGGAACTTCAAGGTACTTGCTCCAATCAAGCGGATCTAAGTATGTTAGAAATCTACATTAGCCTGGACTAAGTAATCTTTTTGCCTTCTAATTGCATAAAATGTTAGCTGCTACTTTTAGCGGGGTTTTTCGTTTTTCTTTGTTTGTTTGTTTTTCGGAACTGGGGATTGAACGCAGGCCCTTGCGCTTGCCAGGGAAGTGCTTATTTCACTGAGCCATCTCCCCGGCCCGCTACTTTTAGTGTTGATGGAGTTTTTCAAATGACCTACACTGCAATGTCAGTTTGAATAAATATTACACAAGTGCATAAGATATCATGAAACACTTATAACCCTATCCTTCCCGGTCTTCCCATGTGCAGGGCCAGGGGACACCCTGGCAAGCATTTATAATTCTGGATTTTTTGCTACTAGGCAGTGGCTGAATGAAACTTCATGGCTTAAAAAAACACCCAGAGCCTGCTAGACCTCCCACAAGCACAGTGGTAGGGCTGACCAATGCTACTAGGACAGGCATGTCTCACCCGAATGATAGGTATAGACAAATGAATTGTTGCTAGGATTTCTACTTGCTCAGGATTGGTCTAGAGAGGACTTCTGGCCCTTCAGACACACACAGGTTGAGCATCTCTTATTTACAAACCCAAAATGCAAAGCTTGCTAAGTGTCAATACGATGCTCAAAGAGTTTTAAAGTTTGGATCACACTTTTGGATCACTGATGCTCAACTGGTGGTCTACACAAATGTTCCAAATTCTGAAAACAAACAAACCAGTAATCTGATACACTTCTGATTTTAAGCATCTCAGCTAATGAACACTCTACCTGTGTTTTCTTCCTAGTCTGAAAGCATAGATTCTCTCTAGGGAAAAGCTTTGTGGTAAAGATTCAACACGTGTAGATTGTCACTGGCAGTTTTAGGTGTTCGTGCATGGTCAGAGGGGGTCCAGGCAATGCAGCAACTCCTTTCCAGGGCTCACCACAGGGCCTGCAGCAGCTCTGCATGCTCGGTGAGATACAACTGACATACACAACACCCAGGAAGACAGGCAATCACTGTACAGGACAAGGGAGGCACCAGCACACACGAAAGGTCACACGCTGTGTCAGAGCAGAGAATGGGAATTCCAGTCCTGCCGGGCCGCACCCAGGCTCCATGTCTTTAGTCAGCACCCAGGACGCTTCCTCATTACTGTTACAATCACACAATGTGCTACTGCTCCATGGCAGAAAAGTAGGCACTCTGTTATGTCTTGGAAAACCGCATCAGCTCCTCCACTGGCTCTTCTCTGACCCCAGTAAGATCCGTACACTTAAGATTCTATGCAAGGTATGTTCCTCATCCCAAACAACTAACCTAATGGTGCATCACAAGATACCAGACAAACAAGAAAAATCTAAATATAAAACTATTAGAAGAAATTAAGAAGTTCAGAGTGGAAATTAAGGAAATTCAAACTAAAAATATGAAAGGATCAATGAGTCAAAGAGTTGGTTCTCTCCAGGGACATGAAAGGGATTTGGGAATAGCAGGAGGTGGGAGGGAAAGGATTAGTGAAAAGGATCAAGATGTGACAAGGGTTATGCACCAAGTTTCCCATGCTGAACATATTTACCACGTACTACAGACATATACTAACAACACAGGGAAGAAATTATGTTTTACATTATTGATTTGTTTCCAGAGAATAGTTACTAAATCCCTTCTAGAAGCCTGTAATTCACAAAGAGCAAGTCATGAAGAACTTTAATGTCTTTCTAAAAGGGAAAATGTGACTGATAGTTTTTAATAGCAATAATATAAAACTTGAAGTCTGTTTATATTATTTTGGTGTTTGGGTTTGAACCTCAGACCTCTGCACTGAGCTATATTCCCAGAACATTGATATATATTTTTTTTATTTTGGGACAGGATATTTCTAAGTTATTAAATTGCTCAGTATGAGCTCAGACTTGTGATCTTCCTGCCTCAGCCTCCCAGAATGCTGGGATTGTGGGCCTGCACTGCCAGACTCAGCTAGAAGTTAATTTTTAAAAGACACAGCAGCTTCAGCAGATTGGGAAACATGTTCATCTCTCTCTCTCTCTCTCTCTCTCTCTCTCTCTCTCTCTCTCACACACACACACATATACACACACAAGCCCCATTCTCAAAATTATTTAAGTTTCAAATAGAAATCAGGACAGAAATGTAGTCTATTATGATCTATGGAATGCATGTGTCTAGAGGTCAGACCATAATCTTCATTGTTGTTATTAACAGAAGAAAACAAAAATAAATGTACTAAGGATTCCCAATTAAAATGTTTTAAAGAGCTAAATATAGCTCTTTGGTTACTTTTTTTAACCAAAAAAGTAAGAGGAAGAAAAATATAAATGCAAGAATTAGAAAATATCACCATAGGAATGGCACGATAGCTCAGCGGACTAAGTGTCTGCTTTGGCAAGTGCAGGGACCAGGATTCGATCCCACATGCCAAGCCGGCCCCGCCTCTGGGTCCCGCTGAGCCAGAACCAGAGTCCAGGCCTGGTGCCGCATGCCTATAATCTCGGTGCAGGGGAGGCTGAAGACAGCAGGCTGAAAACAGGAGGTTCACTACGAGTCCGAACTGCATAGTGAGACCCTGTACAAAATATATAAAAGGAAAGAAAATATCACCATATCACATAAATGAGAGGTAATTTTATAATTTTTTTTGAACAAAACAAAATGTTGTTAAAAGAAATCAGTCTAAAAAATTCATAAAAGACCAGGCATAATCAAACAAGTGAAAATTTAGTCAAGTGTTACCTCCAATTATAGCCTCTATGTTTTATTTTCTTTCTTGCTTAACATTTCTATGTCCCTCTAAATCTGCATAATCCAACTTTCTCAAAGCGCCTATGCTTAGTAGAGACTCCCACATTAGATTACTGCCAGGATGCATGATATTCTGAAGCACTGGCATAGGAAGCCAGGCAGTGTCTACAAAACATAAAAGAAATTAATGGAATTGAAGTACCAGATGAACATAAATGACAAATGGCCCGAGCCATCCTTACGATGTACCAAATGGAAACGTGCGCTTAGCCCATGTAAGGGTGGCACAGCTCTTTTAAAATAAACCTGTCAGGGCCAGGGAGATAGCTCAGTAAAATAAGCACTTGCCTGTCAACCACAAAGTCCTGAGTTTAATCCCTGATACCGAAAACAAAACAATAAAAAGAAAAATAGACCTGTTAGAAAAAATTAATAGTCACTTGAAATGATATGATCTCCCTGCTGATGTATATATCCTTGAAAATATTATTTCAGTAAACGACTTCCTTCCCACATAGCAGCATCCCAAATGCACACGGAGGCAAACCCCTGTCCCCATTGTCTGTTACCTAACCCAATTTCTCATTGTACCCTGGCATTTCGTGTGTAGAGCTAAATGTGTGGCACGTGTTGTTTGTTCTCCAAAATGAACTGATTTTTGCATAGCTACTGTTAACAGAAAGAACTAAAATCAGTCTTAAAATTAGATGCTCCTCTTTTTAGAATAAATACACTAGCTCAGAGAACGCACACACTGAAGCTCCACATATGGGTTGGGGGGGATGGGCTCAGAAGAGGTAAAGCTGGACATGAAGCCCCTGTTTCAGCAGGGGCAGTAATTACTGACTTGTCACTCTGGAGTGGTAGCCATTTCTAACATCTCTCATTTATGGAAATATTGTTTTGTCTTGTAGCATCAACTATGTATTATACATGCAAATGAAGCTCAGAGAGGCTTTTTACTAAGCCACTGCTAGGTACGCAGTGGACTTTTTTCAGTGACACCCACACAGTGGGGTCACCGTCGATAACATATCATTCCACATTCACAAGGATCAGGAAAGATAAAAATACTGATTACCTACATTTAAGGAAATATTTGTGTATTTACTATATTTATTCCTACCCATATGCACATATACATACAAGTTGCTCAAATGTATTAAAAAAAAAAAAAAACAGTAAATGCATTTAAGGAATCTAGGTTTTGGAGCAGGCTCCCTTAAGTACAGGAATCTCAGCTTTGGGAATATCATAGAAGACTCCTGTCACTTGTCCTCAGTTCACTGGCTATACAGAACAATCTAGAAGTCAGGCGCTCACCTTGTTGCCACAGCGTGAACTGGCTCCAATCACCCTTCTCCCTCAGGTTTTCATCTTCGGGCAGGAAAAGCCCTTTGGCTCTATCCATCACTGCGAGGCCTTCATCACGGATTAACTTCCAGTTTCTTTCTAAAGACTAGAAGGAAGGTCTGGTTTCACTGAATGGAATGCATGGGTAGCAGAACACCAACTTTTTGTTTGCTTACTTGTTTAATAAAATAATGAAATGTTTCCTCTCCTAGAGATCACAGATTCCAGGTTTCTCAGACTTAGCTTTGCCTTTCAGCAGATTTCCCTACACATGTGCCAATGAACAGAGTAAATATTAATTACACTTCTAAGAGTATCAGAAATACACCATTTTTATAATTTTTTGATGCACCATTTTTCATGCATTATAAAATTAATATGAAGCATAGTAGATAAGTACCTTAGCGTGTAGAATTCACCCAAACAAAACTATTTGTAGAGCCAAGGAGTAACCAGGTGGTACCAGCCAATCCCCTGGAAAATCTGCAGTCTTTGGATGGCAGCATATCTTCTTTTTTTTCTCTTCCTTTCTTTCTTTTTTTTTTCAATGAATTTAGTACAGGGTTTATAGGGTCTCATTGCGTAGATCGGACTTGTAGTGATTCTCCTGCTTTTATCCACCATGCCCGGTCTCAATCACAGTTGCACTGCACCCCAGGGGCCAGACCAGCACAGCACACTGGAGATCAAACCCTGGCTGCTGCGCTCTGCCTAAGCAGGGGCTTTAGTCCACTGAGCTATCTGGCCAGCCCCGGGCAGCATACTTTCTTGTCAGTCAGAAGTGGGTGATAATTGGGTAGGACCAGAGTGGCAAGAATGCAGGGGTGGTATCCAGAGCATTCAACTGAAACGATCTAGTCCCAGAACAAAAGAATAAGGTAGCTTTCCTATAGCAGGAAAACCTCGGACAGCTAAATTAGGATTTTTCAATGTCAGTTATTCCAATCATTTCTATGTTAGCTGAGATGTGCATGCAATAATTGAGTACATGGGTGTGAAGATCAGCATGAAAGCACAAACTGATTTCAACATGAATCACAGATCAGAAATATTATTGTAGGTATTTGAAAGCAGGAGATCAGAACCAACAAGCACGGTGAGATTTCACTGCAAAATATGAAAATAATTAACACCTCTGAAAATGAAATGGGTTGCCTTGTGTACATCATTCCTTAGCTTTTGAATTACTCAACCAAAGTGAACTGTTATTGGGTAAAACAAAGCATGAGATAAAGTTTTCATCAGCCCAGCTCTTATGAATTCATGATTTAGTACAGTAAAAGAAATGCTAGAGCACAGGTAGAGGACATGGCTTCAGAAATGTATTCTCAGATATTTGTGAAAACACAGCACCAACCTCAGCCAACTCAGAGTGAAGGCTCGCCTGAAGCTACCTTCACATGTCTCTAAAGACTGGCTTACAAGCTTCTCCATGTAAGTGCCCGTAATCTGATGAGTAAACAGACTTCATTACTATTGCAGCAATGACCGTGGCCAACTGTATGTTCAAATGACAGACCCAAGCTATAAGCAATAGCACTGTGTCCACTTCCGTTTTCTGTACGTAATCTCTTTGTATCTTGCTATAAATACAACCTGTGTATGAGGTACAGTGTTACAAATCACTGTGAATGCAGACTGCTGTCCGACTCTGGAATCACAAAACCAACTGAGATCTGTAAAACTAGGTCTGTTCTCATTTTCTCCTTTACCACCAGGAAACACTTTTACATCACATGAAAACATGAGGGATATTAAAATATGGTAGGGTGAGAGACTGATTTAATAATTCTGTTTCTGGGAAAGTCACCATTTAGCTTGTGTCTCTTTCTACACCTGCTCCTACCACCTCCTTCCTTTCCCTTCCTTCAACACACAGTCTACCAACTAGTTTCTGTATTTTGTTTTTCATCACAAGTAGGCAGTTTGTAATTAGCAAATTGAAGTCTGTGTTTTAATAAAGAAACATGCAAAAGTCCTCACTGTGGCTGCTCCACAGATTGACAGGACTCAAAGGCACTGTTAAGAACATAAAAAGCGGGGCTAGGAATATACCCCAGTGGCATAACTGCCTGCTTGGCAAATGCAAAGTCCCAAGTTCGATCCCCAGCACTGAACAACAACAACAACAAAATGATGAGCCTTTGAGGTCAGGCATGGTGAAGCATGCCTGTAATCCCAGCACTGCGGAGGCTAAAAACAGGAGGATCACTATGGGTCCAAGCCAGGTTGAGAGACCCTGTACTGAATACATTAAAAAAAAAAAAGAATGTCAAAAACACTGCAAGGCAAAACTAATGTAGCTCGGGATTCCGTGGTATGCTTACGTCTTCCCAAATGCACCTAAACTGCCACCACTGCTCCTGCTGCTGTAACCTGTTAAAGTTGCTAGATAAACCTATTATATTCTTGTTAAACTGTCATGCAGACAAGGAGAAAATTACCTCTCTACTGTAGGAAAATTACTTCCCAAATGAGATTACTGGCACCTTATAAGGGCAAGCTCTTCCTTTCCCCCTCCCAGTATTTTCTAAGTTCCTTTTATTTCTCCTGAAAGCTGATTTTAGGAGCATAGTTAAAAATAGCTGATCTTTTGTTAATAAATAGGTCAGAAAGCCCAGGGGAAATGTTGAAGTGACTGTATCACTCAATAGAATTTATTTATTTTTTCCTTAAGAACAGGTTGTCTTTTGATGTGAAATGTCATTGCTGGATCTCTCACTCAACCTCCCTAGGGAATGGCGCCAAGGCACTTTTCACTTTCCTGTGTTGTGTGGGACACAGATGTGTAGGATGACAGACTCAAGAGAAAAGCAGCAAACCAGTGCAGAAGTACGGCCTCAATACCTTACTCCAAACCCACACTGCAGTGTCCCCGTGTTCCCCTTCAATTGTACTGGTTAATTTTGGTCATCACCTTGTCTGGATTGAGCGAGGCCTAGAAAAGTGGTAAGGCACACTGCTGTTGCCTGTAGGAGTGCTGCCAGAGCCAAGTGGCATGTGGGTCTGTGGACTACTGAACGGTGAAGAGGAAGGAAGACCTGCCTGCATGCAGATAACACCATGTTGACCCCAGTCAGTAGGCTGGGGACCTGGATGCAAGGAAAGGGGCAGGAGGGGAGAAGACTACACCTTTTGGCTGCTGCTGTTGCCCATACACATCAGAGGCCAGCCTTTCAATGCGGTTTTAGGCCAGGGAGATTCCAGCCTTGGTGTGGGGCTGTATCACACTGCCACAGCAGATTTCTAATTATCTTTCATTATAAAGTAGCCTGCATTATTCTTTCAAGTTCAACACTTTGTCTCAGAATTTGGCAGCTGTTAATCTGGAGGAAATTTTGACCTTAGAGATGATGAAATGAATCCTGGTTAATGAGCCTAAGAATCATCATCAGTGATCAGGAGAGACAGCCCCAGAAAGCCACTGTGCTATCTCCCCATCACGCCTAGGGCATCTGAGGGAGGAGAGGTGGCCATGCCCAAGCACAGGGATAGCACTGTCATGTGCGCTGTGGCCCTTTTCCCTTATGGAGCAAGAGAGCAACTGAAGAACCCCACAGCCTCTGATGTACAGTAAGTCCCCTACAAATGCGTTCCACGCTGGGAGAATGACTGCAAGTCAGATTCGTTTAAGTCTTGCAAAGTGAGCCTCCCTCCCCTTTGACATAAACATACACTGCACAGTGCTTTGGGATTCCTAGCAGCCTCTTCCACAGCACCACTGCCTTCCCTCTTGCTCCCAGACATCCTGGACCTTGAGCACTGCACACTGCACTCACTGCACACACTGCACTCACTGCACACACTGCGCTCACTGCACTCACTGCACACTGCACTCACTACACTCACTGCACACTGCACACTGCACTCACTGCACACACTGCACACCGCACTCACTGCACACATTGCACTCACTGCACACACTGCGCTCACTGCACTCACTGCACACTGCGCTCACTGCACTCACTGCACACACTGCACTCACTGCACACACTGCGCTCACTGCACACTGTGCTCACTGCACTCACTGCATACACTGCACACACTGCACTCACTGCACACTGCACACACTGCATACACTGCACACTGCACTCACTGCACACTGCACTCACTGCACTCACTGCATACACTGCACTCACTGCACACTGTGCTCTCCTGCACTGTGCACAGCAGCTGTGACAGTGTCTGGCAGACACGTGAGCTACCTCACGATCTGTTCACATCTGGGAATGCTCCCAATGCCAGGTCGGTTCCAATCTGAAAACATGCAACTCAAACTTTCCTAAGTCGGGGTCTTGCTGCACAGTGCTGTCCCGAACACCTGTCAGCTCAGGCAGCCATCAAAGGCAAACACTTTCAAGGCGCCTGGACAGTCACACGCTTCCCATGGATAGAGGCACAACTCAGAGAAAGCTCACAAGTGGGGGAATCCGAGTGAACCAAAAGACAGCACCAGCTAAACTCGCATACATAATGAAAAACGGATAAAAGCAATCATGATTTACTAATGGTTCAATGTAAACACTGAAAAATAATGTTCAGACTGAACCAGGGTTATATTCGCACTGAGTTATATTCTTAGCCTTTCTGAGACAGTCACTTGTGCCAAGTCACTAAGTTGCCCATGCTGCACTGAGAGTTGAAGTCCTCCTGCCTCAACCTCCCAGCCTCTTTGTAAGCAGCTTTTTCATCAAAGTAATGAGTCTTTTCAAGTATGCTTTCTTTATGGAGAAATGTGAAATGGGACTCAGAAATATTTTCAACTAAGGAAACACATTTTATGAATCTCATGGGTTATAAGAGATTAAAGACATAACCTAACTGCACAGTATTGCATGTATCTTGGTCCATTTCTGTTACAAGAAAATATCATAGACTAAGTGGCTTGTAAAAACAAAGACTTTTTTTCAGTTTGAGGAGCTGGAAGTGTAAGACCAAGGAGCTGGCAGGGCTTGCGCCTGGTGAGCCCTGCTTCCTGGCTCAGAGGCAGTTCCTTCTCACTCCAGCGTCCCGCACTAGGAGAGGGCACAGCAGCACTGCGTCCCCAGTCTCATTCACAAGGGCTCCAACCTTACAATCCAATCTTCTCCCCAAAGGCTCTCCTCG